GGAGAGAAAAATCAACGCCGAAAACTTTCAAACCACGTTCACCTTGAATCCATCCACTTTAGCAGACTAGCTTCCAAGTACCTGAAAAAGATAACGTTCCACCAAACCCACTAAACACAATCTTGCAGTTGTAGATTTGCGACCTCAGGAGCTCTTAAAGTTTCTGTTAGTAGAGAGAAGCGAGGCAGGCATCCGCGCCTTTTTGGTGACACCACAGGCATCTTCGGCAACGGGGTCACTGGCAGATAACTGCCGTGACCGACACGACTGATCTGACCATTCTCAACTTCGGACGAGAGCACCGGCGCCACCCATCGGCGGGCTCGGATCAGCGCTGTGTGGCATCCCGTTGTCTTGTCAGCCCTCCACGCTGCGGCTCTTCTTCTTCAGCAGCACCATCGCTAACCATTAGTAAATCATTGCCAAATTGGCCCGGTCAATCAATGAATGAAAGTTTGGCCGCCCAAATATACTGGACGGTTCCTCAAGACGGACGGACGTATGCCAACACAACCAAAGCATCCTTGTACAATGTAGATTATACATGTAGGTACATTGTACATTGTACATACGATACACATAAGAATTAGGATCCAAACGCACACATCATACAATCGCAACTTCACGTTAAAAAGAAAAAGAAAATCTGATGGATCCCAACAAGATGGCTTTCACGGATCCACTTAAAATAGTTGGCCAACCAATAGCATAGATCATTAGGTAAAATATATGGCTATTCTGATTGAGAATGCATCGAGATACAGAAAGTCTATGCCATAATTCGATCGTTATCGATCACTGACAAGGTACTAAGGTAGGTAAAAGAAGCTGCACTAAAACTAATTTCTATTCATGGAATGAACCCGAGCCAGCCTTGCTTGCACTGAGCATTATGAGCTCATTTCAAAGCAAACCAGCATCCATATTGTCGGGAGGCTCTAAAACCACAATACTAGTTACAATGAAGAAGATTGGATAATATTGAAATGAGCCGCGAGGCATAGAAACGATCAGCCGACAAACGTTTAAACTTTGGCATCTACATAAATGCTCCCGTTTCTCGGGACCGCGCGATCAGATGGTAAGGGGGTCGAGGACTGCGCAATGAGCTCTGCTTACCTTCAATCCAAGCCTTGGCTCGGTCAATCCGTCCATTCAAATTTTGAGTTATTTCTTTTTTGCAAATATCATTAACTACTTGATACATGTGCTCATTAAAGAAGGGATGAACAAATAGAAAACAATGAATCAATAGAACGCATAATATGTCTTCAAAATACTTCAAAAACACTTCACACCTGAGAAACGAAGCAAGCCTGTATGTTTTATTTGGTGCCAGTCGTTGGACCAAATGAAATGACGCTCGGATGGTGGCATTACTTCATTGGGGTTTAAGAGCGCGTCAACTACAGGTCATTTATGTTGGTGGAATTGTAGTGAGACAAAACACAACAGCAAAAATGAGAAAGCACGCAATAAATCTATGACGGCAAACCAACATCAATCCGGTTCCTTGGAAACCAAAGACCGAGTCGTGTTTTCTTTGGAGATTCATTATGAAGCCATAATGTCGTGATTGTTTGGGAGCCAAAATGACTGATGCGTTCTACGTCGAATTTTCATTAACTCCCATCAGAGAGAAAAGTGAGTCCTATGGAAGCCATTGCGAGAGCGAGGTACCTGTTCGCTAGATCAACATTTCGCGGGATACATAACTGCAATTTCAAAGCACAGGAGTTGTAGCAAGAACATGTTGAACCGTCAATGAGGAGTCCTAAGATTTAATTGGTCTTGGGTCATCAGAGTACAAACAATGCGCGGTAATGTCAAATGTTCAATTTTAAGCCTGAAAGCAATATTTCTGCAATATTTTCTGCTGAAACCTTTAAAATTTGTACGCATATTAGCGCCCGCGCCCCACTGGGGGGGGGGGGCTGTTCATAGCCCCCCCCCCTCCCGTTTTTCTGCAATAACTTCCAAACCACTGACGTATCGACGCCAAACTTTCAGTAGGTACCTTTGGCTGCATCAATTTGACACCTTGTGTCAAAATTTGAACTTCGTACGGCCGAACATGACGTCAGAGTGACGTCATGTTCGGCCGATTTCGACGCAAAACATTGAACCACGGCAATCGCTCCCAAGAGCTCAGTTTTTGAGCTAGATCCAAGTTCTTTGCATGAAAGCACTCAAAACTGACTGCGCTATCAAACTGCAATCTCGGATTGTCAAAATTTTTTGAAAATTGTATAAAATAATATTCAAAATTTATATTTTTATATTTTTTCAAAAAGTTTTTTGACTTTTCGAAAAAAAAAACGGAATATATGTGACAGAACGCAGGCTTATGACTATCGCTAGCAAGTTTTAGCTAAATATCTTCAAAAATGGCCAAGTTATACGCATTATTGCAAAAAATTCACAATTATTAATTTTTATAATCAATTTTTCAGTACGTATTTGACATCGTATACCAATATAAACAGCACCATCGTGTTCCTGAGCTCAAACTGCATCCAATAGACACCGTTTTTGTTGAAAAAATTAAACTTCAAAATTTTAACTTTTTTGACCTGAAAGTGACCTGACCTAAGCTAAATTCGACTCAAAATGACCTCGAATGACACATACGACATCAAATTCGAAATATATGGCCTAAATGGACCATAAAACATGTGTCACGTGACCGACGCATGATATAATATTTCCGTGACCTGTGATGACCTGACCCTGACCTGAAAATCAAAGTACATGTTTGGTACCCTCAAGGTATCTAGGGCATCTGTTCACGAGTGTGTAAACCAAAAATGAGCCTGATCTGACTTGTAAGACGGCGGCCAGAGCCCAAAATGTGAACAAGCTGAAATGCTAATAATTTTTACTTTGACCTGACCTGTGACGTCATCGGTGACCTCGAGGTCAATGAAATTAGGTTTCTTTCGACAGTTTTTCCGGGGCTATCAGACGCCGTTTAAATTTTGACGATCGGCCCAGTAGTTTCGGAGTTAGGAGGGGGGGCTATGGAGAGCCCCCCCCCCCCCTCAGTAGGGCGTGTTATACGCAGATCCCAGTGGGGCGCGGGTTAGGGAACATCATGTGGCCAAAAACACTTTGGCTTCGTACATTTTGTTATTTAAAGCTTAGATCTCCCCCAGTTAGGGCGAGGATGCGAATGATCTAAGAACTAAGAAGCGATCAAATAAACATTACAGCTTTCCTAAAATACTGAATGAGAATCGGACATTCGGGAGAGGCGCAGATAGTGCGATCTGGAAGGTGCCGAAAACTGGAAACGACTGTGTGAGCCGAACCAACGCAGGCCTCCGGTCACTCTGAAAGATCGGGCTATGCGGCGGCTAAGGGCACGCGACCGGCCTCGAGTCAAACACCACCACTGAACACAAGGAACAGGAATCCTGACAAACCGGCAACGAGCTTAAACTAAGAGAGAAAATGTAAAATGTTACCGAGCCCGATGCACGCCAGAAGTCACTCCCAGGCGACGCCACTCCGGCATCTGTAGAGGAAAGTGAAGGTTCATTTAGCCCCTATGTGGAAGAAATCATAACGCTAATAAAAGGAGAGTAATATTGATTGGAAAACAACGGTAAGAATAAATGTTACATTAATCGGATTTACACGGCATAAAAACGTCCACGATAAGGTAGCAACGGTTACTCAAGTTCTGATAAGGAATAATGTAAAACTGGCTTACCGATTTTGCTAGTCCGATGCGGAAGCTTTCCACGATAGACCACTGCGGCTTTGCGGTCAGCAAAACGGCAAAAAAACAGCGAGGGCCGCACAGTGAAGGGCAGCATGCAGTGCCCTACTACGGACGTCAACCAAACAATGGATCGGCATGAGTGACAGCTTCAGACAGGGTAGGACTTGAAAGAGATTGGGATTGGGAAGTCGACACTCCAATACTAGTAGAACGCGGGTTATTGAAGCCAATAGATAAAATGTGAAAGCTTACCTGAATGAGATTATAATGTGTTTACTTATCCCCTCAGGGATAAGCACCAGCTTATTAAGTAGGTTCGTCCAATCAGCCCCGGAATGTCTGTACAATTGGCTAAGTTCAAGATACTGGCTTTATGAATTAAACATCTATATCCATTTGAAGCAGCTAATGGGAATAGTTCCTAATGCTGTTCTTTTCAGTAAATGTCTTGATATCTTCTGCTGAGAAAAGCATCATTAATTTATAAGCATTGAAGAGTTGAACTGAAGGATATACAGGGTTATATAATAATTGAAAAAAGGTTCTTCCTTAACTGATAAATCTAGAAAAATAGTGAAGCAACGTGTGCCAATTTACATAGCTTACAGTATAATTATCAAGTTTAAGTTGTTATGCACATCAGTTAGTTTGATGACCAGACCAAAAGCCACACTTTGGTGTTGTTCCAGTTGGCAGTGGTATGTGATTAGGGGCACTCATACATGGTCTAATTTCCCAAAAGAAGTAAAAATATACCTTTTGCTGCATCCATTGGTCCACCATCCCATCAAAGAATAAAAAAGTACCTACTCTGGTAATTCGTCGCGTGTTTTCCGGCATCGCCAGCTCCATTGTTGCTCATAACACAGAGAAAAGTAAAAATAATACCTTGGTCTCGGATCCATCTGTAGACCCTTGCCAACACCATGCATGGCCTCAGTGTGTTAAAGATAATTAAAGTGTACAGACCTGGCTGTATACTTTTTACCACACCAGACGAGTCTGTGAAAAAAGAGTGATGGTACTAAGAATTGAGCCCTCAGTGTCACACTAGTTCCCCAATTGTAGGTATGAGTATACTGACACAGAAATAAACACCAGCACACTGATCAACAGATGGATATTTGATATGTCTGCACTAAGCAAGTGGATACCCTTATCTTAAAAGTGAGGGATGCCTGAGATAAGTACACTTGCTTTCAATAATTACCAACACATTTCAAAGCAGCGCTGATGTTTTGCCTGCATTAAGGAAACAAAGACAAAATCTTACCTCAGCAATAATTTTGCAGCTCTTCACTTGACCTATGGTGCTGAAGAGTGCAATGACAAGATCCTCAGTGACAGCTGGATCCAGGTTTCCAACATAGCTGGAATAAACCAGAATACCAAATCAATACATATGCTAATCAGAAGGTACCTAGTCTAATAGGTACAGCCAATGATGGCGTGCCAATTTATTTCAATAGGTATTGATATGTATTCACACCACACACCTATATTTTATAAATAAAAACATTTTATGACGGTACACCGTTATCTACATTTCAAGGTAAAAATGAATATATTTATATCTTTCTACTGCCGATTTATAACAGACTTCTGCTTATAGTTTTGCTGTACCGTAAAATGGGGTGTTAAGGGACAGTGGGGTGTTAAGGGACAGTTGCATGGGAAAAACTTTGAGTCATATTAACTTCCTAATTTGAGAAGGTTCAATAAAAACTTCAGTGTGGTAGTTGACACTGTTTTGCTCTTGACCATAGGAGAAAATGGTATGGTTTTTCATGCAAGTGATTTGGTTCAAAAATGGATTTGAAAATCATGCTACATTTTCACAAAATTGAAACATCTCCAAAACTCTGTGTGTACCACATAAACTAGTGGGTGTACAGGGAAAATGAATGCATAGGTGTATTGTCACATGTATTGCACATGTTTCCTGAAAAACTTGTGCAAATCCACCCATTCATTCATCATCCTCTTCCTCTTTTCCGGATACATGCATATTTTGAGGTGGATGTGGGGTGCTAAGGAACAGGGAAGAAAAAATAAAAATAATATCTAAATATAATTTAATTAAGTAGGCATGGAAAACACCAAATTCCACATAAAATGCTGGCAAGTTCATGCTTTTATCTCCAATACATCTTAAGTTATGTAACAAAACATCTCAACACTCTTTTACAATGATGGGTCAATGGAGACTGATGTAAGTAAATGTGATGTCATCATAAAAAGGCTAAAACAAAGAGGGCAACATAATGACAAGTGACAAGCTTCAACATGGGTTTTTATTGATGACAGAAGATTACTTTTTGGTTCTGTTTACCTTATAATTAGCACATTTTCCACAAGCGTAAACAGCATTACACGTAATTGGCTAAAAAGGTCATTAGTGGTGAATGAACCTGACTTGTTTTGTGACAGAATATGCAAAACATTTCAATAAATAAATTGTGTGCCCTTCCACACCCCAATTGTGGGCATTTGATGACCATTTCTTGGAATAATATAGGTGTCCCTTAACACCCCACATTGGGGTGCTAAGGGACAGTGATGAAAAATAATAAAAAATAATATGCAGGCATAAATCTTAAAAACTTAAATGTGGCAGGCATGTAAAGCACCAAATTCCACATAAAATGCTGACAATTTGATGCTTCTATCTCCAACCCTTCTTGAGTTATATAACAAAACACCTCAAAACTGTCCCTTAACACCCCGTTTTACGGTATTTGTATTTTCATCGTCAGCAATGCATGGTTATTTGAATCTTATAGTTTATGTTGTTATTGAACATCAAAAGCAAATGCTGACAGAAAGGGCAAATTTATTAATCTGCTTATTCATACATGGTAGGTAAGGTAAATAAGGAACTTTAAGCATAGGAAATATAGTGATTGTCAATGAAAAATATTACTATCCTAAAGGCTGAGCTACAATATGCGTGACCATCCAGGAAATTCAAATTATGTACATGATCTGCAGTTCTGTGATTGCGAGACTCCCTTGATATCGGTTTCTGCGATTTTCCAGAGCTTCCGTGAATTATTGTATGCTGACGTAATAATAACAACTAATAAATGGTTTCGCAACAAACACCTAAGTTTGCTGTCTTCTATACTATTTTATTGATAATTAGTTTATTTTGTTATAAAACATCAAAAACACATGAAAATTAAAAAAACAATTATTAATTATGTCACTTGGATTCATACTGTCCGCCACCAAGTGCGCCAACAACTGTCTCATATCACGCAATCTCTCAGATTCTGCAAACAAGTTTGTAGCTCTGTACTGAACGTCCGGGATTTCCTTGACTGAATCTGCGTGACCCCAGTGTAGCCGACCCTGTGTATTTCCTATAAGCTGAACTTGACCTGCGTACCGATTTTCTGCAAAACCCGCAAACTCGCAGATCACGGACGTAGGATCCTGCGTTGTGTAGCTAGACCTTAATCCAGACCATAGAGCGAGTCAAATAACACAGTACCTAGCAACTTTTTAAATGTGACAAACCATCTGAAATCACTACCTCAATAACATATATTAATAAGAAACAGGCAGTGGCTAGCAAATAATAATTAGGTATTTTCTACACATCAAAAGTAAAATCACCAGCTTGCGCTACATCAACATCATGACATGATGATCGCAATCCAAACTTACAGCGTGCGTTTCGTAGCGTCGCACATAGTGGAAGGCAAAATGCTGTAACTTGAAAATTATTCAAATATCATAAGCAGCGTCAATTTCGACTCTGTCATAAAATCATTAGCTATTCAATAAAAAAAAAACATTCAAGATGCTTTTCCCCCCTAAGAGGCGGGAACGTCGCGCCACAAACGCCGCCAACGCCGCCAAACCACAAAATAATTTCAAGGATTTGTATAAAAATAAAATATCTATTATGGATAAATATTACGTCATCGAATAGAATCTAAAAACTGAATGCAAAGTGCATGTGACTATGCACTGTGACTATAAAAAAATTAAAAAATGTATAAATGTATGTATAATGTATGCATGTATATAAATGTAAAAGGTAGAATGTTAAATGTATACTCAAAGATCAAAGTAAAAAACATTAGTGTCTTTAGTTATTGTTTGAAGTTGTGTTGGCAGTTGCAGTCTGCCGTGTGCACTCTGTGACTTACATCGAGATGGTTCAAACAAGAATCTTGGTTCAAAACAAGATTCTTGTTCAAAACAGACATCTTCGACAGCTACCACGCAGTTACCTGTAGTTTTTTTCAGAATGTGTTTGGCTCGATTCGAAGCTCATTATTGAAGCTCTCCGTGAGTTTTGGCAGCTTCAGCGTCTGGCTAAGAATTTATTTTACAATTTGGTACAATTCTACAAAGGCACAATTTGGAATCGAATATTTTAGCGGTATGCCGCTAAAATATTCGATTCAAAACTTCTCTACAAATGCATGGAAATTCAAAAATGAGCAAGAGACGGTTATTACGTCATGAAGACGTCATTCGTGGCTGGTGGCAGCTGCCACCCAATGTCCGTTTTAACCCTCGCCGGAACTATTGGTTTTCTACCAAGGCCCTATATACCAGGTAGGGTCGTCCGGCGATTCTACCTTTTCGTGACGTCAGCTCGTGACGTCATTTGGAGTCAAGTCTCGAAGCCCCGTTCAATCTCCATGTAAATGAGCGATTTTCGAAGCACTGTAGAATGAAGTCTGCACAAGATATATCAAACCTAAGTATCTTATCTGAAAGAGCAGACAATTTTCTGCAAGTTATCTATTACCTGTTTTTCGCTAAATCTTTTGCTTTTTTCACATGTCCCCCCCCCATGTCTCCGCAGCCTCCCTGCCGCCGGCCGCCGCGCGGTCGCGGTAGTGTAGTGGTTAGCGTGCCCGCGCAGTATTCCGAAGGTCCCGAGTTCGAATCTATGCGGTGCGGAACTTTAATTGCAATTCCAAGCTGAATATACGCACATCCATAATAAATTATTATTCGTATAGCTAAACTGTCACCAAGCTATCCATATAAATTGACTTCACCCAAAATATCGGCAAGATTCTATTAAAATATAAATTCAAATATGGCGGCTTGGACTGCCGCGTGCGTTAGGCTCCGCCCATAGCTCCGCCCACATGCGTGACGTCATTCGTGTTAGTGGACACGCAGATAGATAGGGGACGACATGGGCCTGGTTTTCTACATACGCGCCGGCCGAAGGGGGGGCGGGTACGACCCCCCCCCCCTCGCCGTTTCACCCCTGGTGAAGCTAGCGCGTCGAGGAAAAAACGAGCGCGGAGCGTGTGCGCCGTTACGAGACGCAGAGATTGGTACCCGATTTTAAGGTCCTAGGTCAACCGGTGACCTCTGAGGTCAGGTCAAGTGTCCCAAGATACGGTTCAGTTTTTGGTGAATAACTTCGCAAAAAAACGGCTGCAGAGCCGCGATTTTGGCAGCATCGTGTTCGTCTCGCTCAGGCGCGTCGAATGATATACTTTTTGTTTGGGTCAGGTCAACTTAGGGTGTTGACCTCAGGTCAAGGTCAGGTCAGCGCCCCCAGGTCACGAAGTTGGTCGAAAGAGGTCATGTCGCATATCATTCGATTCGGCACGTCTTCCTGAGTCCATTGGTGGCTTTCCCGACTCGCTAGCTCAATTTGATCGGGAGTTATATTGACGAAAAACTAATATGAGCTTAATGACGTCATAAATGACGTCACGCAAGGTCAACATTGCAAAAGTGACGCATCTAACCTTGCAAGGAGTGCATCAAATCACGATTCTGTGTACTTGAGATAGTTGGAGATCGTTCCCGGCGCCAGAATAGCAATTTTCATTTTGAGATACCTGCGAAAAACCACATGAGGGGTGTTCAAGCACACAACCCCCCCCCCCCCCCCCCCCCCCGCGGGTTAACCATCGCATCGCCCGTATAGGGGGAAGGGGTCGAACGGACTCCCCTCCGTTTTTCGCGAATAACTCGCGTAAAAAGGAGCCGATCGCGACAAAACTTTCAGTACCCTCGCGTTCATCAATTTTACACCTACCCTGAAAATTTCATGACCCTGACCTAAATGATCTTTGACCTGTGAGTCCTACTTTTCGAGACCATGTTTGGCGGGAATCGCGATTCGGCGTATGTCAGCTCGCATGAGCCGCGCGTTTGCGATCTTTTCGTGGTTTCAAGCGTTCAAACAAGTGGTATGATGCAAAGTATGTATGATGCTGGTCCATTAGGGTGGGTGTCAAGGTCAGCTGAAGGTCAGGTCAGGTCATTGACCTTTGACGACCTCGGTTCACTTTTTCGAGTTTTACATGTTTCTAGGCTAGTTTTTGGAGCTGAATTCGAAGTTAGCAACCATATGAACATTTACGAAGTAACATATGATTTCAAGCTTTTACGACTAGACATCTTAATTCAAGGTAGGTACGTTTTTCGGCTACTAGTCGTTTATTGTTAAACAATAAACGACTAGTAGCCGAAAAACGTATCTACCTTGGGTTTAGGAAGTAGTTTTTGTGCCTTCGTAACATGCTACGAAGCTGTCAAAGGCGGTTGACACCTACTACAAATACTTAGGTACTCGGCAGGATTTCTACTGGTTGACCTGACCTGCCCTGACCCGACCTGGCCTAAATGCATGAAGACATCATCTGTGATCAACGCTAACATGATATTCGTGATCAGCACCCCGAAAAACCTCATTGCAGCTACTCTTTACGGCGTTCTAAAGGGTCCCGATTTCCCCTACTTTTGGGTCATTGACCCGACCTGGAAAGTTAGCCAATGACTAAGGACCTTAGCCTGGCAGGCGGTGGGCCTCCCGGCCACCTTCCGCGCAGTGTGTGTGTGTGTGGGGGGGGGCACTTTTTTGCCCCCCCCCCCCGTGTTAATGGCGCCCGCGGTCCGCATTGAATCCCTCACCCTTCCTTTGATGCCACACGTCAGCAGCTCTAGCTGAGTCGGACTTGCACCTCTAGCTGAGTCGGGCGAGTGCCGATGTGGCAGCTGGCCGCGGTCACGTGACCGAGCGTGACCCTTGTGCGGGCCGAGTAGAGGGCGTTGTTTTGTGCCCGGTGTGCTGAGGGGCGGACGTGTGAGCTGGAGCTGCGCGAAATGTAAGTGGATTTTGTATTTGAATTATACTTTGTTCTTTCTTGATATTGCTATAAACATGCTGATCGATTCATTAACGTAATATAGTTGTTTGTTCGAGTTTGATTTATGTACGTGTTTACTTTCGCTAGGCAGAGTGAGCACCGCGGAGTCGGGCTGCTCGTGAGTCCGGGGATGTTTGGCGGCCGAGCTGTGGCTGTGGGTTCCCCCGTGACGGACTGTGTGGACGGAGCGATCTTCGTGATGAGATCGACTTGTTGAGCGCCGGAGACGTGAACAGCCGGTATGTCAAACGTTGCGTCTGAATTACTGTACGAAGTTGCCCGAATTGTTAAGTGTTAATTAATCGAGTAAATGATAGCGCTAATAGTAATTTTGGTTCTAGAATTGCAGCAATATTTATTTCATGTAATGTTCAATGCACGGCTCACAATATGTCGTTTTGTTCGGACATGTCGGTTGTGGACGTGATTGTGTACTGACCGGTGCATTGTCTGTGTGTTTGTGTCCGGGCAGTAACGGACAGTTTCGGACTGCCTCGAGAGCTGATGCAGACGAATAGAGGTCCAGTTGACGGCACAGCGTGTGTGACTACGAGGGCGCTCGGTTTGGCCCACGGCTGAGGCCGTGGCGGCTACACCCCGTATCTCCAAAACTACTGGACGGATCCGTAAAATTCAAACGGCGTTCGATAGCCCTGTAAAATTTGTCGAGAGAAACAATTTCATTGACCTCAGGGTCACCGATGACGTCACAGGTCAGGTCAAAGATAAAATGTTTTACCGTTCACGGGTCTTCTAGGGAATGCGCTATAACACCGAGTAAAACGCATTTTGAGTAAAACGCAAATCAGCGATAGGGCGTTAGATGCCTAGTACATATGTTGCTATAAGAGGTCACTGATAATACCAGTTCAGGTCACAGGTTAGGTTACCAAGTCAGCACATGAAGCCAACTTATTATGCGATGCATGTTTTATGGCCAATTTTTCATTTCCAACTCAATGGTGTTAGTTATAAGACCATCAGGCACGGTTTATGTCATTTTCTGGTGGAGGTCAGGTCAAGGTCAGGTCAAAAAAGGTCAAAGTTTAAAGTTGATGGTTATGCATAAAATTGGTATTGATTCGATGCAGCTCGTCACGGGTAGTCTAATGGTGGTCTTTGTATTGCGCTACGAGGTCTAGAATTGCTAAAAATTGAGTTTGAAAATTTGACGTCATCAATTTTAAACAGTTTTTTCGCTTAACTTGGCCAAAAAGGAGGTATCGATCTCAAAGTTGGTATGTGGATAGAAGGCGGTAGGTAGTTAGTAGGTGCTATCACTTATATTCCGTTTTTTTTCGAAATTCAAAACACTTTTTGGATTTTTCGGCTATTATATTCAACCAACAATTTCAACAATCCGAGATAGCAGTATTGTAGTTAATTCTGCACCTTTTATGTCTATTTTTTTTTTGGTATCTCTAAAGCTGTAGGCCTGATAGCTCTTCCCGCGAAACCTTTTTTGGGTTGAAAATGGCAGAATGACGTCACTGTGACGTCATTAGAGGCCAACATATCATAATCTTTGGAAATTTTTTGTCAATGTGCAAAAGCTATTTACGAGAGGATACTGAAAGTTTGATGAAGATCGGCGCAGCGGTTCTGGAGATATCTCGAAAAAAAACTTAAGGGGAGGCAAAAAATGCCCCCCCCCCCCTACCGCCTGGAAGGTTAAAATTGGGTATCATCGGCTTCCTCTCGTCACGGGCAGCACGCTCATTTTTCCGCAAAGCTCTAGCTCGATCAGGCGAGAAACAGCAACAGGGGGGGGGGGTCCAACGGACCCTCCCCGTATACGTTCGCGGCTGGAAAAAACACCAATACGGGCGAGGGTTAAGGCACAAAGCAAGCACAAAGTGTCCGAACAAATTTTGGGAAAACTTCTTTTCACACAGTTATCGTGCAGTCCGAATCGAGTGAGCGGTTCAGTCCATGGTAGTTATACTGTAGAACTATACATGGCATTGTACTGCAAGTTCCACAGCATGACATCACCATTGTTCCATTCAGTCAATGAATCGTGAATTAATCAATCTTCAATTTATTATGCGTCTTTTCGAGAGACCAAATACAACATACCTACCTACAGTAGAATATAAGACACAACAGACAACAGTTGAACATAATGACTATGTAGCTCCAAAACGCACGTATGGAATTTATCGGGAATAATTCACATGTTAACCCTCGCCCGTAAACGGTGTTTTGCCACCTTCGCCCATGCAGGGGGGGGGGGGGTTGGTGCGACCCCCCCCCCTGGCGTTTGAAAACGGAGCGTCGTAGAGCTTAGCGGAAAAACCCACGGATTGCTCTCAACGAGATCTCGCGATTGGTGGTATATTTTTTGGTCCTAGGTCAACATTTGACCTACTTATGACCGGTCAAAGGTCAAATTTTCGGAAAAATCTAACGTTTTCAGATTTCCGCGCCGATTGCGGCAAAACGGTAAGAGATATCGACTTGCAACCTTCACTATCGTGATCCTTGATCAATTCTCTATCGTTTGGTGTGTATTTCGATGTCATAACTCTAAAAATGATGCGCTGGGAGCATCGGAAGTCTGCAAGGTCATTTGTGCATTGGGTCACGTCAGGCGTGTGACGTCACTGACCTGACCCTGACCCAAAATGAACTACAAGAAACAACCGACGATGCCTGAAATGGATAGCAAATTCGAATTCAGGGCATTAAAATACCCCGAAAAGGCATACAAGTGCAAAAAGTCATTACAGGTCAACCGAGGTCACTGACCTTACCTTGACCTTTAGTAACCTTCAAAATGTCAACGGACATTGTGCCAATGTCAAATCAGCCAGTTGTGATTATAAAACAATCCATCAGGTCAGTCGGCATTTATACCAATGTGAAGCAATCTCCAATTTAGCGTAAATCTGGCCGGAGGTTGTTCCCTTTATGACGTCATAACTCCGTGACCTGACATGACCTTGACAAAAAAAAATTACCAAAAGTTGCGCAAAGGATGCCCCAAAAGGTACTGAAAATTTGAGCAGGCTATCTGAAACGGTTCGGCGTGCAGCTAAGAAAAACCTCAGGGGGGGGGGGGGTTACATGGGCGAGGGTTAACATCAAGGTTAAAATTAGGCAACGTTTGATTTTCTCAGGTTCAGTTTTGCCGGTTTCGCTGGCTAAAACGCGTGCTTAGTTGAAAAAAACGTACTTGGAGCCAAACACCTTTTGAAAAAACTAAGTTATAGGAAATCATTGGCGGACCCTGAAAGGTGGTCTCGGACGTTGCGGGGAGCGGGCATGCAAATTACTTACCTACCTTGTGGGAGGCTATTGATGTCAACACATACATACATACATGCACACATACATGCACACATACATACATACATACATACATACATACATACATACATACATACATACATGCATACATACATACATACATACATACATACATACATACATACATACATACATACATACATACATACATGGGGCAAGTCTTTCTCGTTGAGTCTTCGAGTGTTGAGGTACTGAAGCAATGAGCAGTGTTCGCCATGGGCCGGGCCAGCCCAATGGGCCATGGGCTGGGCTGGGCCCTCAAATATGAAGGATCGATGGGCTGTGGATGGGCTGGGCCAAGAACTATAAAGTGGAGTCAGGGGTTCGCTACTGAGACTTCATTTTTGACGGGCTGGGCCGGGCTGGGCTTTGACGCTTTTACCAGGAATGGGCTCGGGCTGGGCCGGGCTGTGAACCCATGGGCCTGGGCTGGGCTGGACTGAGATTTTGCGGCCCGTGGCGAACACTGGTACTGAGTCTCGAGGCCGAGACCGTACAAGCTGTAGCTTTGGTAGAGCAAATTCACTAGTTATGAGGATGGCGTGGCTAGGGGCTGTCACGCTCATTGTCCAGCATGACCCAGAGACCATGTCTGGGGGACATCTCTGAGGACGTGACTTCCCGCCCCGCCTCCAAATCTCTATACATACCTAGCTGTGCTTTCACCACTGTAAAAAGTACACGTGGAAATAGAGGGCATCCGACATTTGAGACATTTGCTTCTTGGCTCTCCGGCAGGATCCAAAGTTGATAAAAATGTTGTTGTTTTTCTCGCATAGAAGCTTAACAACTTTTGTAGAAAAAGTTCGCAATAAAGTGCTCGGGAAAGGCCCCGCAGAGCAGAGCATTCAATACAACCATTGGGATCCACCAATCACGTAGAAAGTCGAGGTTCAGGAATCAGGGTTCAACCAATGTGCAGGTAAGGCATCAGAATTCCTCCTCCACGCTCAAAAACTTTTCGGCTGCACTATCGGCTTCCGTAAGCGTCGATGACCCAACTGCACGGCTTATCAATGTGAGCATGATGTGCCCCAAGCCGCCCTTTGTGCACCCGGAGGCTCTCCCTTACGGAGCGGGGACACGCATGAGCAGACACTTCGGTCAGGATCCAGTCGCAGACATGTCGACAATGTCTGACAGCGACACGTTTCTGGCCTCGCCACACTGTGAAACCAGCCTGAATTTAATATAAATAAAGTTCATCAAGGCTAAGATTTCTATGCTCATTGCCTACCTTCTGATTTCGCAGCCAAGTGCCGACATACCTACATAAAGGGCGCACAAGCCGATGTGCGCATAGATATAATAAGCAACATCTCCTGCTGTCGTGCGGAATAGTAAACGGCCGACAGGGTAACGTCTAAATTTGTTTTTTCCTACATGCCGGGGTATGTCTTAAGCACAGCACGAGCCGGGCAGTAAAACTATGACCAAGAAACTGTCGGTGTCAAAATGCCATGTTATTTGATAGGCCGGGCAGGAAACAAAAGTTTACTGCCCGAGTTTACTGCCCAGGGCAATGACCTCTAAACTACAGTTTATCGCATTAGTCGAGAGGAGGTATAATTGACAGGGAATGTATAATTGACATCATTATTGCATGATATTTGCCGCGTAAAATTAGAAAACTAATATTTTTTGGTAAATATCTGCTCTGCTTATCAAGGGTTTTGAAATATTTTGTATTGGTTACAAAGCCGAAATTATGGTAAGAATGCACCTACTAATCGAAATCCGTTATCGCTTGTTGTCTCATCTTCGTTTGATATGTCCAGTGGTCCACTGATGCCTTGGGCCTGAGTTAATGCGTTTTTATTTGGCAGTTGTAGTCCTTTCCTCGAAACAAACATGTTAAACATGGAAAATATAATGTATTTAACGAACGTTTAGCCATAGGGCATATCAGCAAAGTACGATTAAATAA